TGGTTTTTTTTTTTTTTTTTTTTTTTTTTCTTCCTTCTTCTTTTCTGTGAAAGGATTTTGCACAATGGGTTTCCGAGAAAGAAGATTCGAGGCTTTTCTTCTCTTTCCTGGAACTGCCCTAATGAATCAGTGCGCTCCCCTTTGCGCGGTGGCTCCGCGGTCCCCGCCCGCCTTGGCGCAAGGCTGCGCGTCCTCTCAGCATCTCCATGCGTGCTGTGCCACCTCCTGGTGACACCGCAGAGCTGCACGGCTGGGTCCCCTGCTCCGAATCACCCCCGGGACACTCTTGTCTCCCCCAGCAACCAGGCAGAGGCAGCTGCAGGATTATTTTTTTTTTTTTTGCCACCCAGTTATCCTGCTCCCATCTCCTAAGGTGCTGCGCCAGCCAAGGGGGGGTAAGGCCAGCTGTGCCCCCCGGTCCCTCACCACCATCATCCATGCCACCCCATGGCACCCTTCACCCTCTCTGCCCGTGAATCGAGGTCACCCTTCGCTGACATTTTGCAGCCTGAGACAGGGAGGGTGTCCTTGGGACTGAGCCCCCCCATCCCGTGCTGCCACGCACAAGTGGGTGTAAGTCCAGGGGTGGGTGGCCTGGGGGGTGAGCTAAAGTCCTGGAGCAAGGTGGGGAGCAAAATACCTGCTGAGATCTTAAGGACCTGGGCCTGAGAAAGCGCTACGTAAAAAATAACTTTTAAGATTGTTTGGGTGATGCGCCAGGGTTCGGGCCTGGCCCAGCGCGTTGCTCCGGGCAGGCAGAGCACCCCAACCTGCCTGCTCAGGATCACTTCTCCGCTCAGATACTTCCCTAACCCTCAAGGACTGAGGCTCCTCTTGTGTTATCACTGTGTGGTGGCTGCATTTATGAGGGATGAGGGCAATGAAGGACTGAATCCTGCACAGCCTGGAAGAGGCTGGTGCAAAACCAATTTATATTGGTGTATATATTAATTATATATTGGTTATATTGGTATATATATTAATTTCCCAGGTGGCTACTGAGATGCCAGTGATGGCCCTGTCCCAGGGCCGTGGTTTGTGAGCATCAGCAAGGGAGGAATGCTCCCCACACGGTACCACAGGCTGCAGAGGCAGATATGGTAGGAGGTGAAGAGGATTGGGCTGAATCTGAGGCAAACTCATCAGGTAATGCTATGCAAAAAAAAAAAAAAAAAAAAAAAAAAAGCTTCTCAGCATTTCTCGTTTCTTAGGGGATACTTAGAACAACAGCAGAATCTTTCATCAGAACATTTCCAATTTTCTGTGCAAGGCATCCATCCAAGGCTTCCCAAGGAGAGCCCCTGGCTGCTGGGAGAGGGGCTCAGCCCCCAGGCCCGGCTGCTCTGTGCTGAAGGTGGCACCGCTGCCTCTCTTATGAGCGAGAGCCTCCTGCTGCAGCTCCCTCGGGCGCAGGCCCAGGACTTGCAGATGGAAGGAGGAGGTCGAAAAGCTGGACCACAGATGCTGTGGATGTGGCTGGTGGCCACAGGAATGCAGCGGTCACCACTAGCAGGGATGTTCTTCACCGTGTCCGTCATGAACCTCCCTGAGGAAGTTTTTGTCCCATTTTGCCAGCAATGCCACACCTGGTCTGAGTTTGGGGGGCAGATGGAGCCCGAGGCTCCTCTTCGCCAGGGGAACATCTCAGTATCAAGTATATCACCTTGGTGCTGAAGGGGGAGAAGCAAACAGGTATTATTCTAATATATTCATTTTCTCTCCTCCAGGCCAGATCCATGTGCCAGCTTCGTTGCATTGCACACATGCTGAAAAGGTATCCCAGCACTTTCCGCTGCAGTTTGGGATTACAGCGATCTGCAACCTCTAATCCCTGCTCAGCTCAGGAGAGTGTTTCTGGTCGCTTGTGCATTAATGCTGCCAAATCAATCTCTCGTTTCTTACGGTCATAAAACTCCACTCAGTCCCATGTTGATTTCAACAGCCATAAATCTGTGCCCACTTTCTACTCTGAGGGGCCAAGGATGCCCCCAAGTCAGGGCAAGAAGGAGCAGTTAATTGGTACAAAAAGAATAACAAGTGTGGGCACAGATCCGAAACCAGGATTTATTTAGGAAGATTTTCTGGTTATTATCTACTTAGGAACAGAGGATTTGTCAGAACAACTCAGCACATTTTCATCAAATCTGGCATCCTGCATGTACGGGGATAGTGAGAGGATTTATTAGAGGGAAAACTCTTTCTAGCCTCCCCCAGAAGGGCAGGTACAGGGCCCAGAGCTGTTGGGAAGGGGAGCAGAGGCAACGCTGAGGGTAGAACCAGAACTGGCTGCAGGTACCCAGTTCCCATGAGACTGGAGCCAGCAAAAGCAGCTTCAGCCTGACTGGAGCCTGGGCTGGAGCTGACACAGCTGAAGTGGAGGTGCTGCCCCACTCCTGCCTGCAGGCTGGGCAAGAGCTAGCCTTGGGCTACTGCATGTTAATCTAAACCCAAATGCTTTTTCAACTCGGCCCCAACACGGGCCACATCCAGCTGGTTCCGTCAAAAGGATCCATCGGCCCTCCCTGTCACATCTGGCTGCTAGGAGACTGGCAGCACAAAATCCCCAGGCTTCACTAAGAAAAACGTTTTCTGATAGTCTCACTGATGTTCCAGTAACAACAACATCATCTGAAATATCAAGCGCTTGGGAAATGTTTGTTTTACAAAATGGGGTAGGAGCTGCTACAAAAACAAGCTCTGTTAGTAAAAAGAAAATATTCCCTTGTCAACAAGCAAAGAAAAAAAAAAAAGTGCGCGTACCCAAAGGCAAGAGCCCTGGGAAATGCCCTTTCCCATGCACAGTGGCAGGGCTGCTGGGGCCCTGGCAGGCCAGCTCGATGGCAGCGGGTGAGAGCCGTGGCTGGTGTGGGAGCAGTGGGGCTGCGGTGGCCTCAGCCGCGTGAGCCGAGTTCCTCACTGCTGTTCTCATTTATAAATAGAAAGGCAGTTAGTTATTATTAGAGCTTGTTGAGTGGGTTTGGAGGAACTACAGAAAACCTTTCCAAATGAGCTGCTTTCCAGTTCAAGCAAAGCTCCTGGGGTCACATCTGGAGGAGAAAGTCACGAGGAGCACCTGGAGTCTTGGAGACGGGTCTGGGCTGGTCTCACAATGAAGGGCTTCACCTTGGCACCAGGTCGTGGTGCTCCCGGCATGCCTCTCCCTAAGGGTGGTCTGTCCTCACCCTACTCTGTGCACCCACGATTCCCACGCCTGTGATAACAAGGCGAGAAACAGAGAAACTTGCCTCGGGCCTTGTATCTCCAGCACCTTCCCCTGGACCTCGGAGGGTACAGCCAGCTCCTGCACCGTCACACCATCCCCAGGCACACGAGGAAGCTGTTTCCCACACCGCATAGGTGGCACAAGGAGAGCTTTTTGTCACATCTTCCGGCTGCCCCAAGACCTCTGGGGGCTCGTGGATGAGCACAGAAAGATGAAGATGTACACCTGGAAAACCCAGAAGGCGGCTCAGTTCTCCTGGCTCCGGCAGAAGAAACACCATCGGGTATGTTAGGGTGGTTTTTGTGTGTGTTTGTGTGTGTGTGTCCCATCTTGTCCTCATGCTCATGGGCTGTGCCTGGGGGCTCTCAGCCGTGAGGTGGTTTTTGGCCATTTCTCCCAAAGTCATGGAGGTCAAAAGCCGTCAATAGCATTTAGGTCCCAGAAGACGCGCCTAAGCACATCACCAGCTATCTTATCATGCCTGAGCTGCTCTGTACAACCCTAATTGTACAGCTTCTTCTTTTAAATCTTATTTTCCTTGTCTGTCTGTTGGAAACCACATTTTTCTCTTATCTGTACATTATACCTTCTAAAATCTGTCGCTAAATCTACAAAACTGCACCCAGTAATGCACAGAGATCCAGGACTGAAAGCATTTCATTCGTGACTGTCCTTTACAGAGCCAGCAGGGTCAGAGGAAAAGAAAAACAACACACACATGATCAATATTTTTTAAAATAGGATTTGAAAGCAAAGCATGAGAAGCCTCTATCTAGTTTTAATTTCAAATGAAAAAATACGGTTATTAATATATGGCAATGCTACTCTACCGTAAGAACAAAGTGTAGATAAAACCTGCAGGCTTAATGAGGCTCAGGAAAAATAAAATTTGAAAGCAAATCTTTGAAAATCTCTAGGTAATCTCTGTTCCATTTATCATGCTTTGGCAATCAGAAAGTAAAACCAGGCTTAGCATAATGAAAAAAAATCAAACAGGCTTTTTTTTTTTTTTTTTTTTCCCCTGATGCTCTAAAATCACAGAATAATATAGTCATGGCGCACAGGGAATCTAATTGCAAAGGTCTCCTCCTGCATGTCTGAGTAGACTATGCGAGACTGGAATTTTTTAATCACAATATTTAAGCTCTCCTTGGTGACACAGAACTAATGCAGCGGTCCTCTCTTGATCTGCCAGAGATGTGAAGGTAACAATGGTTGATAACTCAGTCGCAAGCTGAGAATGTGAAAAAGACCTAAAAAAAATTTACTTCCCTTGACATCTATGCCCTGTCAGGTCAGCGACGCAGCGCCGGCCCCAGCTGGGCTGGGGTTGAGAACACCAGTGGACAGCGTGGCCGAGGAGGCTTTGCCTGTGCTTTTTGCTTTGTAAAGTGCTTCGATCACTGCAGACCCCTGAGTCTCCCCATCACTGGAGGGGGATCGTGCTGTGCCCCCCTGGAGCTGAATGTGACAGCCCGGCCAAGAATTTTTGGGGTAGACAAGCTCAAAGCATCGTACCCAGCTGCTGCCAGGACTGATGCTGAGTGCTGCCCCACGGCACTGGTTATCTCTGGGTCTCTTGGCTCAATGGCAGGGGCTGTGAACACAGGAGGGAACTGGTATTTGGGAATTAGGTCTCCAAAAGCCCCAGATGGCACCGCTGGACCCTGCAGTGGGTGCTCCCCATCATGATGCCGCCGGTCCCGCAGAGCTGGAGGTGGTCCACACCCAGAGGAGGCGTAAGACGTCTGTGGTCCCTGCAGCCTTGAAAGTGGTGGCTCCCAAACATTTCCACCGGCAGCCCCATTTCCTGGGCCACCCCAGATCTTAGCAGAAAAGCCTTCTTAGCAGTTGATTTTCTGTTGGCCTGGTAGTCCCAGCACAGCTGCCTGTCCCCACATGGCACTGCAACCCTCCCTTTAGAGACCATTTCTCCGAGGGTGTTTCTTTTCTCTGCTGAGCCACACAGAAAGCCACCCAGCAGCCTTTAAACTACCTCGTTTGGCTACTGACTGCACCAAGCTCAGAGCAGGAGGCTGTAGCATCACTGTAATGGGTCCAAAACATCTTCAAAACAGCCAGCTTGACCTACTTGTCCCTTCCCAGCTCCTCCAGCTATAATTTCCTCACAGAGAACACTCGCAGTCCTGCGTTCTGCCCTCCCAGTGCTGCAAAGCTGGGCTGTTCTGCAACTTCCACGACTTCTTGCCTTATCTAATCACAGGGCTGTGTGGGGATCCTTCAGCTAACCATTCATTGGGAAGCAATTTTAGATTCTTGGGTGAAAGATTAAATATACAGTCGATGCATTATTCCGGTACAAAGTGTGTCTGTTGCTATAGACAAGGAACACATGTGGGGCCATTTGGAGGTAATAGGAGTTGCTTTCATCTCCTATTCCTGTTGGCAGCGGCCACGGTTACTGTGCTTTGAAATCACTCCTTTTGCAGACAATTAGGAGGGAGGAATTCTCAGCAATTAGTCACTCCAAATCACATATGAGCATAAAAATAATTGCACCTTCCTGAACTCACTGCGACGAGATTGTATGTGTACAATTCACTTATATTCATATTTTTGTCTCCGGAACCGACACTACCAAGGATTTATTTTTCAGCAGAGCTGAGTGCGTGGTGCTGTAAAATGGGCATTTGAATGTTGCCTCTTTTCCCAAAGGTGCTGTAAGAATGAGAACTGCAATGAGCATAAAGCGTTTTAAGACTCTGCAAGCAGTGTTACAGGGCTCTGGCCATTACTGTCCTTAATTCTGCTGGAAGATGGGTGTAAAAAGAAATAAATAAGTAAATGATCCAAAGCAAACAGCTCCAGGCAGAAGCTTGACTGGTTGGGGCTTTCTGCCTCCCTAGGCTTATGCCCTCAGGTAGGACAACAGTAATGAGCAGCTCAGGTTATCCGCTGCAGGGGGAAGATGGGACTGGATTTAGACTGCCGATCCGAGGTGTCCAGCCAGCTTCAGGAAGCGATCATGATAGCTTCTTGCTCGTCTCTTTTCATTATGTAGCTATTAGGGTGAATTAGAACGCTCAAAGTCTGGATCTGATGAAGCCACAAATATCAGACTTCAATTTTCCCACAAGTACAGGGTTGAACCCTGTAGCCACCTCCAACTACGAGCAAATTGCAGCTTCTCTGTCTCTTCTTCACCTCCCCAGGTGCTGGAAGTCTGGAGTGTTTTCTTGGAGACTTGCCTGTAGGTGTTCATGCTGAAGTTCCCGTGTCCGCAGCCAGGACAAACATTTGGAGAAGGGGGATGTTTTTTCCCCTCACGCTCATGCACCAACCTCCCTGCCTCCTCTTAGTCTCATCTGTGGCATACATCGGGATGTGAAAGCTTGCCCCTATCAGTGGGTCTGAAGAATTAGTGACCACATAGCCCTGCAGTGCTGTGCTCTCTACAGCCTCCCCCCACCAGCACTGCCAGGGGCATTTGTGCCAAGACAACCATCCGTTTTCAACAGAAATGCAAGAATTCAAGCCCTGCTAATTATCAGCACCCCACACACAGCTTTGTCCCCTGTTAGTGAAGAATAAAAACCCATCTCCAGGCTGCTGTCTCCACTGATGCCCAGTGTTTGCCTTGGACCACACTGAATTTTTTTAGAAGTCGGGTCATAAAAAAAAAAAAACAAAAACAAAAAACACGTGTAGAAGAACTGCCGTGCCTTTCTTTATCTCTTCCTTCATAAGGACTTCCCTCAGAAGAACTCTGCTGAAGTCATAAGTCACAAAGGGGCTTTTTCAGGCACCAGAGATATGTTTTCTCCCAAAGAGAAATCGAGCTAGGACAGATTTTTACGGACTCTTCTTGTTCCTGCGCTGCCCCGAGCACACGGACTGCTCCATACACCACGGAAGGGCAGGGCCAGCCAAGGGCTGAGCACAGGAGGAGGGGGCCTGAACACGTGCACATCTTATCCCTAATAATGGAAAAATCTGCAGCCAGTAATGACTATTACTGCAGTACAAATGTACACAGTGGGAGAGACTCCAGCAGACCCTCCTGAAATCTTTTTTGTATGACTAACTGCAGGAGAGAAGAGCCCTTCTGCAAGAGCCAGGGAGGGCTCTTCCACGTGCAGCCAGACTAAAGCAGAACCATGTCTTTTCCTTTGGAATGAGACATTTTAACTTCTCTGTGCTGCGCTTTGCAAGGAACCAGTCCTTGCAGTGAGGGTGTCACAGCATCTGTTGGGATCCAAGAGGGGACAGTGGCTCAGGAGGGAGCTGGGGACACATCCCTATTCCATTATTTTTGCAGCCCAGGAAGATGGCAATGCAGTGAGACCCACCAACAGTGCCTCGCTTGCTCCTCGTGTTGTTATTTTAATCTGATCCCAAATGAAGAACAGGCCACCAGCCCATCCCACCATGGATGCTGCCAGCAGCGGGATGCTGAGCAGTGTGGCACGCCCGGCCCTGTTTGTTTACCATGACATTAGTCACTCGTTTTCCAAATCCTTTGGAAAAAAACACAGCCAAAGGTCCAATGCTCCAGCCTTTCTGCTGCCAGACCAACGTCAGAAGCCACAAGAAACAAATGGACCAATTTTGAGGCCACTTGTGCCCCACAGTAAAGATAGAGGGTGAGGCTAAAGCAACGTCCCATAAATCTGCTTGGACAACAAGTCCCAAGTGCCTTTTAACTCTCCACCTTTGCAGCTCCCTGAGCTCCTGTCATCTGTCATGGTTTGGCTCCTGTCATGTCATATTTGGCCTCAACACAGCATCGCCACATGAGATCTGGGTGGGAGAAGGGCTCGGGTGAGACTGAAAAACAGTCCACGGGACCCACCCCCACCAGCTGGCGTTCAGTCAGTCTTATGCACAGCATCACCTGAAAACTGCTGCTAGGATCCTTCAACGTCCACTTCAACCTCTTCCATGAGGTTAGGAGGGGTTTGCCATCCTCTCCTGTCCCTACAGCCTCCGGCTCCTGTACCCCCCAGGGCGGGCTGGGACCCGCCACACAGTGCAGAGCCTGGCAGCATCCTCCTGCATGCACTGCCTCGGGCACCCCGGTACCCACAGCTGCAAACACCCTCCTTTTCACCTCTCCCATCTGCTGCCTTCAGCCTCCAGTTTTCACACCCATTCAACGCTCTGCTTGTGCCAAAGGAGAGCTTGTTACCAGCCCAACACATGCCTCCCCCTGGAAATGCTCCTAACCCACCACAGTAATGAAGAGCCTGACCCTGCTCTTTTATGGTATGTTTGGACTATTCCCCACTTTCACAGTCAGTAAAACCCAGCAGAATCCACACGTGACTCTGTGTTACTGACTGCTCGGTGCAGGGTCTAATAGGGACCGTAGGCTGCGTAAATGAGCATTTACCTTCTGGGGCTTCCTCCTGGTGGCAGCAGGATGGGTACCACACTAAGCAGAGCTCAGCGTGTGGCCGGAGCACGTCTTGCCTCCCCAGCCCGACAGCAAGTGGCACTCTCTCCACGCAGAAGCCCACGGGCAGTGGCTGACGTGGCCACAGGGCTTCTTTCTCTCAAAAGCAGAAGGAACCCATCATCCGGCCAAGGAAGATGTAATTCTCCGGTACATGATGGCACAGGGCCAGTTCCCTTCTCCGGCTGCTCTTCATTAATCAAAGGCAAAGTGCTGCAAAGCAGAACATTTCACAGCAAGTTTTCCTTTCCTGGCGGGTGAGGACAGGATCTGATAGCTCCACTGTCTGGGACAGCGTTGGGTGCCAACCTCCTCCTCTCTATCAGCCATAACACGAGTGGGCCTCGACAGCTCCCAGCACAGGCAGGAGTGAGACCGTCGGGGTTTCTGCGCTGACCCCGAATTCTGATCCAACCCCACACCAGCTCAGGGCTCGTTGCCACAAGGGTGATTCCCTCTGGGGGGGGGGCAAAACGGAGTCCTGGCCCCATGCTGCAGATGTTAACAGGGCTTTTGAGAGCACGTGGATTTATTCTGAGGTTGGGTCTCTAGAAATCAACTCAAAGAGTCTAATAAAACCATTTTTAAAACGTGTGTGTGCTACTTGTTTAAGGAACCTCAGGAGAAAGCATGGATAAATTGCTCTTCTCCAGCACGGCTCCAGGTGGAGCACCTCAAAAGGCAGAGCAGTTCCTGTGAGCTCCGGGCAGGGATGCCCGTGGGGAGCCCCTCAGTCTGGTAAGGCTGTAAAAACTGCTTTGATCCTGCCGTCAGCAAGATGCTGCGAACATCCTGACCCGGCAACCCAGAGGGATGCTCGCTCCAGCACAGCACTGGACCTTTTTTCCAGCAATTTCAGCGGGGACCAGTGTCCTGACCCGGGCGCTCAGAACACGACACTGAAGCTGTGAAGACACTAAACTCCCCCAGTCTTGCATCCCATCCATTCCAGGACATGTCCCAGAAGGATAAAGTCCTACAGTACAAGGAGTTTTCCTGGCTTGTTTGCAACCTGTTCTCCCTAAAATAACTACAGGAGCTCTTGGGCCTTGTAGCTTTTCCCATCGTAACACCAGGGAATGTAGCTGAGCCATTGTGTTTTACTTCATCTATTTATTTATTCTTCACAGCCACTGAGTTATAGATACTGCCACTAACAATAGCTGGGAAAAGTTTAAGCCATTTATGGACACTGAAATGCTAGCTAAATAGAAAAGCTTTTGAACATTTTGCAAGACCAGCTTTAAAAACAGGATGTTCAAGCCCTTTATTTTGGGATGTGTTTGTTCCAGTGATCAGATGTTCCACCCTGGTATCTCTGTCACAGAAAAAAAAGCCCTACAAAAATTGAAAAAGAAAACAAAGCACAAATTTTAAATCGATCCCAGGAATTGTTCTGCTATAAGGGGAAAAAATGTGCTGCAGATTTCAGTGGCACCCACGTTCCTCAGGAGCACCCTTGGGGGGGGGGGG